CGTTGCTTTGCGTATTCAGCCTATTATCACTATCCTAACTGTAAGTAACTCTCTCTCCTCTGCATTTATTTTCGCAATTATTATCAAATGCTGTTCGTAGAATTTATTGGTGATTTGTACGATTTGATGGTGGCGGAAGCTTGTAAAAGAGGAAGCACAACATTAATTTCACTTTTCAATGCTTTTAATTCAGCAATTGTTTGGATCAACATGTCGATCTGCTAGGGTTCTTCAATTAATTTTTGAAATTAATACGATAAATCCAAAATTCATCTCTCCTATTTCGATCTCATCATCAACATCGTTATTATTGTTACCGGAAAGTAGAAATAATTCGATGTTCGATCAAACGGATTATTGCCATTTGAACTTACGATTTTCGGTTCTAGTTTTGACAAATTCATCATCGATCTATGATTATGATTGCATTGTTTTTAAGCAACAGATTATCTAATCATCATATTTTGGTTTTTGCAATCAGATTGATCATTTTGATGCAATTATTTGTTTGCAATGAAGAGACGATTCATTCTACTATGAAATCCCAAATTTAGTCTAGAAAAACAACACTTGATGAACATTTGACAAATTGTTAAAGTGTTAATTATGGACTTTTGGTGTTACAATTAACACTTTAATAGATTATGTTAGTAACAAATTACATAATTTAAACCACAAGGTGGTACCTGATTGGTTTGAACTTCGCTCCAAAGGTCAAAAGTACCAGGAGGTCTCAGGTTCAAATCCAAGGAGGAATAAAAATCCCCTTGTGGCCACGGAGGTTCAAATGCAATGACTCCGGGCTATCTGCAAAACAGGTGTCGCCCTAGGATTAGTCGGCTCCCATAACGGATTGGATATCATGTTAACAAAAAAAAACAAATTACATAATTTCAACATCAACATTTCACTTAAATAAGTTGCTAATCTCTTAGCAATGGTGAGATGAAAAAAAAAATGTGAAGAATGTATATATAATACAAGTATATAGGAGTAGCAATAAATGCAAATACTGTCGGCATGTTATTCGCCGGTGGACGTACATGAAATTTTTGATTCTTCCATTGACATGTCTTTTCGCACACACAGTTTTTCTATATTTTCAAATCTCTCTCTCTCTCTCTCTATAATTATTGCTTGAATCATACATACTACGTGGTTTTAATTTCTTCCTGTCTCTCTATACACACACATATATAAATATATATATATACATATAATAGATATAGATTGATTTATTTGTAGGATTTTAGAAATGGGGAGAGCACCCTGTTGTGAGAAGACTGGATTGAAAAGAGGGCCATGGACACAGGAAGAAGATGAGCTTCTTGTTGAATACATCAAGAAGAATGGCCATGGCAGCTGGCGTTCGCTTCCTAAGCTTGCTGGTACGACTCTTCTGTTTTAATAAAGTTATTGATAACCCACAGCTTTAGATTTATAAAAAGCTCACAAATCTAATTTTCTATTAATTTAAAACTTTAAGCTCCATCGCCCATTTCTTGTTTTTGGAGTAGGTATAAAATCTAGGGCACTAGTTTTGGTGGATTAGGCAGATATTTTGCCTCAATTTGGTTTTCAAAAGGTGTAAAAGTATCTCCAATAGATTATTCAAAACAGAGAATTGAAATATAAAATATTCAAAAAGAAATTACATGTAACTCCATTTTGAAAAAAAAATATAATATTAATTATATTATTAAAATCTTCTATAGATTTAGTAACATATGTTATGAAAATTAATTTTAAAGTTTTTTTATAAGTAGAAGTGGGAATATAATAAAAATTGTTTTTTTTATCATGAATTGGTAATTGTTTTGGGGGTTTTCTAAAAATTTAGAGAATTTTACACTCTCTTTCTCTTATTTTTTTTCATTTTAAAGATTTGTTGGAGCAAAAAATTTGCTCAAAATTTTTATTTTTTTAATTTTGAAGAATCTGTTAGACGTGCATTATTGTTTTTTTTATAAATTTGCTCAAAAAGTTTATTTTTTTAATTTTAAAGAATTTGTTAGACATGTATTATTGTTTTTTCTAAAATTTGCTCAAAAATTTTGTTTTTTTTTTTTTTTTTAATTTTGAAGAATTGTAGGTATCTTTGAGTTGCAATACAGTTTGAATCAAACAATTAAGAATTCATTAGATTTATGAATATTTAGAAAAATAACTTTATATCTATAAAAAGTTATGAATTTAATTAAAATCTTATTTTTCTTTTGACCCTTTCTTCTCATAAACAAGGATTAGCACTTTTTTGTTCTTTTAGTTAATGTTATTTTGTTACAAATTAATTATTATACCCGTTCAAATATAAAATATAATGTTGATATTAAACAATTTTAATGATTATTTTATATAAAAAGATAATTTATTTCTCATCTGGTTAAGTTTAAATAAATGTTTAAATTTAAAGTGTTCTTTTATTTTCTGTATTTTGAATTACAATATAGATTAATTGTTGTAGTAATAAAACAAAATCTTTATTTTTTTCTATATTAGAGAATCTTAAAGATGCTTTTATTTTTAATTAAGTAGTAATTATTAGTGATGTTTGATAAAACTTGTTAAAAAGAAAACATTTCATCTTTCAAGACAATTGTACATGCAAAGTGTTCATTTAAATATTTTAGTCCACCCCTTGTTTTATGGTATGAAAAGTGTCTTTCTATAACATGGTACAGTTAATACAACTTTATAGCATTTTTTTTATCATAAATGACTATATACTTTTTAGCTAGTTTTCTATGCGTCACATTAGTCAATGTTGCAAGACTTTTTTTTATTGACTTGGATATCCAGTCCGCTATGCGAGCCGACTAATTTCAGGACGACCATCTGCTTTGTAGATAGTCCGGAGTCACTGCATTTGAACCTCCGTGTCCACAAGAGGATTTTTATTCCTTCTTGGATTTGAACTTGGGACCTCCTGGTACTTTTGACCTTTGGAGCCAAACTCAAACCAATCAGCACCACCCATGTGGTTGCAAGACATTTTTTTGCGTCACAAGCCCAGGCTTTAGCTTGTTTTTTGTGCGTTGACGCATGTCCTTGCAGTGCCGCAAGTTGTGGCGTCTCAATTTGTTTTTGCGATAGACCTACTTTTCATTTGAATGCGTAGAAAAATGTCAGCAATTTTAAGAATAAGTGTCTTGAAATGTTCATTTGCGGTTTCTTGATTATTTTGTAAAAAAATATAATGGTGCAACTAAAATAGTAATATTTTTTCTAATATAGTTGTTTGTGATAATAATCCCTAACATTATAATACAAGGTACTATTTGTAGTTTTAAATAGCTTAATTGCATCAACATTATGATCTAGAAATTAGAATAGATATTTGCAAGAGGAAATCAAGCAAGAGTTACTACTTTTTTTAATTAAAATTATTTATTGAATTTAGTAATCATTGATTTCATATTCCTTTGTGTCATCAAGAAAAGAGACAAGTAAATTCGTGGGGTCCATGCATATCTTTTATTGTATGGTGTTTCTTTAAAAGAGTTTGATATAAATGCAACTTATTGGCATCACATGCAACAATGTAATGAAGTAAAAGTACTCTTTTGTTGTATTGTCCATTCTCTCCCTCTCCCTCACCCAAATAATACAACTTAAATCACTTCCTAAAAAGTCATTATTTTATCAACACTTATCTATATGTATTTTATCTTTTTCAGACCTTATTTAATAAAGTCTTTATAAAGTTCCTTTGGTTTAGAAGAAATACAAAATGGATATTAAACTACTAACATGGTTGTTTGTTCGTATAAGTATATTATTTTGAAACCAACTGTGATTAAACCGTTCAAATCACTTTAAAGACCATGGTACACATATACCAAAACTATCAATTGACTGAACAACAGAACAAGTAATAAGTATATATATATCGTTTATATAATCTATTATATCAAAAGTTCAAAAAATAAAAACAACAAATATGTCTTAAAACGACAAAGTAACATATAGATTTCACTTAAAGAGAATCATTTCTCTGACAGTTTTGAGAAAGCTGGAATCGGGAATCACCAAACCAACTAAATAAGTAAAAACCTAAAACATGTATAACTAGGCCTCAAGAATTTTAGAGGCCCTGTTTCTTGTCTGAATTGAAACACCATCAGATACGACCTTGACTGTGTATGTTTTTAAAACTGTTTGAGATGTGTATGTTTTAAAAATTATGTATATATTTGGTTGTTTAGAAAAACATTATTAATGTTGTATACCAAGTAGAAAACATATGAGGTGTATCTCGAAAGCATTTAGGATTTCGGGCCACCATATGCTCCCTCATAGGTTCGTATCTAGTTGTCATTATTTATTATTTTCAACTAATTTTTGTTCCAAAATATTTTCACTTAATCTCAACATAAGTTAAATCTACTTATATGTTTATTTTTACAAATAAAAACCAGTAATATCTAACGGTAGACCTAAAATTTATGTTGAATGAATGTATCTTTAAGGTGGATCAAATGTGTACATAGTCGTGTCTTTAGCTGAATTCCATTGTTTCAGGAGATATTTAAAGTTCTCTTTTGTTTGCCTAGAGATTTTTTAAGTTTTTTTTGGTTGATTTCGAGAGAATTTTCGGTTTTATTTTCTTTAAAATTTGGATGGTAGAACTGGGATATTACTTAATTAATGATGGTGTTTGTATTGGTGGTGGCAGGTCTCCTCCGGTGTGGGAAGAGTTGCCGGCTCCGGTGGACAAATTATCTCCGGCCAGACATCAAACGTGGCCCCTTCAGTCCTGAAGAAGAAAAGCTTGTCATCCAGTTACATGCAATTCTTGGCAACAGGTTGGTTTTCATTTTGTGGGTCCCACTAGTTAATATCGATAAAAAAATATTGAAAAAAGGTCTTATTATCTATATTTGTATATTATTGCTTACTCGTTACTGGCATTTAAAAAATTTATCTTTTCATAAGCCCGGAGTTTTTAGCAAAATGGTCGCTCTATCTTTAAGGTGGAGGTCAGATCTGCATACATCTTACCCTTATTAGACCTTACCTCCAAGTGAGATATACTGTGTACGTTTGGTTAGGTTTATATGACTCTAGAAAACACGAGATAGCTCAATTATCAAAAAACACGAGCCAAGATCGAGCCTACGACTTTCCAAGCGTTGCAAACTACGAGTTGAACCTAAGCTTGGATATTTTTTTTGTGACCTAGCGCAAATTCTCATGCTGCTGTTATAACTTGTACCGTTATGGAAATCAACATAGTTATGGTACAACTAATGAAGCACATATAGTCGTTTTTTTTGTCGTTTTTAACTTTGAGTTTTGTATTTTTCCAGATGGGCTGCCATTGCTGCCCAGATGCCCGGAAGAACAGATAACGAGATCAAGAATCTGTGGAACACACATTTACGGAAACGTCTCTTATCCATAGGCATCGACCCGCAAACCCACGAGCCGACCTCTGTATCCTCGCCTTCAGTGGGCCCACTAAAACGACCCTCAGCCTCGCCTTCCACCCGCCACATGGCGCAATGGGAGAGCGCCAGGATGGAAGCCGAGGCACGGCTCTCGATGGAGTCTTCGGCTTCGGTGTCGGTTCTACTTTCGTCACCTAACAAGAGTACCACCAGCACCGACTATTTCCTACGTATTTGGCATTCAGAAGTCGGTGAATCTTTCCAAAACCTCAACAAGGGGAAGATGGGTTGTTTCAGCCCAGCTTCCCAAACCTCCGAGTCTAACACAACCATAGAGACAGAACCTAAACCGTACCGTGAACCAGAACCACGGCTAGATGGTGTAACTTTCTGCCAGGGATTTACGCGTGCGTCGAGCCCGTGTGAAATGGAAGATTCATCTGATACTTCACTACAATTGTTCTTTGATTTTGCCGGGCTTAATGATATGAGCTTCTTAGAAGCTCATTTCAACTGAAGGTGCGGCAGAAGAGATCACATATGATCTCTTCTGGTGTTGCTTGCTGTTAATGAAGACTCGATGGTTGACTCTGAAGTCTTCGTTGTGTTGTAATCCCATATATAATCACGAACTTGTTAAAAACAACAATCGCTCAAAACTCGTTAACTTACGAAAGAAAGCAGACGATAAGGTTCATCGGATCGTGGCCCGTTGTATGATATTTTGCGGTCATTCCGACATCTCTGTAGCTTTCTTTGCATTCAAGTTTGTTGTTTGTGAACTAAAACATAGTTACAAAACAAGCTATTTAAGAAACAACTTATTCAGTCACTTTCGTTCGTTACTCACGACTTGTTTTGTCGATTGTACATGATTGTTTGGTAGTTGTTTAATGATATAGAAAGTGGCTTATTTAACAAGTTTATGAGAGCGTTATACAAAAAGCTAAGTTTTTTTTTCTTCCAAATATTTATCTTCAAATTAAAAAACATGTTCTTTCCATCTATGAAAAAACTCTTCCAACTTAATCATTTCCATGTATATAGACAGATTAATGCATATAATCAACATTATCCATACAGGACTTGATGAAAAACCAACCAATCATTCCTTTAATGTCCTCCTATGAAACTAACCTTTTACAGACGAAAGTAACAATGAATTGCAAACTACATAAAGGAAAACCGCAATTTCAAAAACACAATAATGAAAGTCGTAATTTTTAACAAATCATAGGGATGAAAATACTGGGTTAAACCTCTCCCAAAACACGTCATCAAAATCTGCTTCCCATCTTTCTCGTTTTTCTGCTTCACGGTGCCTTCATCCTATGTGTTTTCTTCATCGGATTTGCTTTTAGTTTCGTTATCAAAGTTGTTGACAAACGAAATACGTTACTGCATCAAATCTTAGGGCTTTGCGATTAGAAGACTCGCAACTTAAAAGGGTGGTCGTACAAAACCTTAAGAACAAGTTCATACCATGCAGATTCACTTGCTTCACAATGATACAAACAGTTGATTTTTAATCATTGTCTTGCAATTTACTTTTCGTTCACTAAGTGAACAAGTCTGCTTCTACCCTTTTCTTTTACGGATAGCTTCAATCTTTGTGATGTCAATCCGTTTGGGTTTCCAATATTCTGGATTATGTAATCTACCATCTTGAATAAATAAAGATTCAGTTTAATAAGTTTTCGTATATATCAATAAAGTTTTAAACTTTAATAATAAAGATTCAAACTTTATTGAAGTTTTTACTAATACAATCTTAATTTTTTAAACAACAAATTATCTGATAAACGCTAACGCAGAGTCGTCACACTCATCTACCAGGCAAGACTCTCAATCTTCGTCATCACACTTACCAGGTAAGATTCTTAGACCTTGACATATTCATTCGGTAAGGTAAGTGACCTAGTAAACACTTACCAAATAAACGTTTGCATAACTTGCAGTATCTCAATCAATTGACATGTAAGATTATGAACATGAACACCAATTCCAAATGTTTCTTTAACAAGATTTTTATTTTTCCCACCACAAAATCGATTCGAGTCGAAATCAACGTCACAAAACCGATACGCCAAAATAAACCGAAAGTAGAGTGAATTGTGAAAATCTATCTGGGTTGCTTAACTCGGACGAAAAGGTATATGCTCGAAAGGTCAAAACAGAAAAGTCACATCCATCAATGGAGAATGAATGCAACCGAAATCTTTTACCTGTACAATTTGTATTCGAGCGGGAATAAATTACTGTACACATCTAGAAATTTTTCGGGTTTTTTCCTTTAATTTTTGGGCATTTTTTATGCTGCAAGTGTTCCTTCGCTGATTTGATTGTCATCAGTAGAATCTGACAGTTGAGGTTTTGGTTTGACCATGATACGTGAAAACCCGTACCCGAGAGAGCTTCCGCTAATTTCACACAGCTGCACGATGCAACGTTTAATTGAAGAAAAAAGTGTGATCGTTTGCCGGTTGAAGAATTGAGAAAAGATGATAGTGTAGGAAAATTATCAATATGTGACGTTAAAGTGTAAAGATTGGATGTACCTCGGTTAGTTCTGAAAGGTGACGGGATCTGAACTCGTTGATTGTCGCAGCGATTTCCGACATCGGTAATTTAGCCTATCAAAACGAAACGGAAGATTTAAAAGCATAAAACATTATAACTGAGCTAAAAGTTAAACATATATAATTTCGGTAAAAGCTAAAACATGTATAATTGGACCCCAAAAATTTCGGGGCCCTTTTCCGTATCTTACATTAGAACACCCTCTAGCACTGCCCTTCCGCTCAAGCCGGAAGGTCTTTATTGAAACAGCCGCTCTACCCTTTGGGGTCGAGGACATGTCTAAGTAACCCCTCGAGACACTACTTTTGAGTGAATATTAGTTTTGGCGCATATTCAGACCGGCTAAATATTTGACTAGCGGTTAAACGTTTTCACTAAACTTCTAGTTTTTGGTTCATATTTATAGCAGTTATCTTGTAAACAGTAGACAAATATGCAAATATTTAAGATAAAGAAAGAACGTTAAACAATACGTTATGGTTATTATTTAACATGAAGGTTTCCCTTTTTTATGATACCAAACTCGTAAAGTTTAAGGAAGTTTACTCGATTTCGTTTTAAGGTTGTGGGTCCCTTTAGATGATACGAGAAAAAATAATTTCATATGGGACCAAGCGAAGGGGGTGTCGATGACTTTGATAACAGAAACAGCCAGTTTTTCAGTTTATTTCAGCTGTAATCAATTGAATATAACACATATTACTTACTTGTGCAAGAACAGCGGATGCTAACTGCAAACTCGGTTCCAGTGTCTCAGGCACAACCTGCACAGTTTTTTTACTCTAACATCAAAAATGGTAGTCGAGATTTATATAAGATTAACCAACATTAACTTGGAACTCCAATTATGTATAACAAAATTGAAGTTTGACCAAAGGGTCAATGGCCCAACGGTATCTGGGTTACTGGTAGATCCCAAACTCCTTGTGTCTCCAACATATTCTCTAAAATTTCTCCAAAATGGAGAATCAGAATTTAAAATCTTTAAAAGAAAATTACATTCAACTCCACCGGATTCTCTATTCTGGAGATTACAACATTGTATTATTAAAATATTTCATACATTTAATAAAATATTATTTCTCACTCAAAATTTAATTTCAAAGTGTCTTATTGGTGGGAGTATAATAAAAATATCTCTCTCATGGTAATCATTTTTGGGTGGTTCTCCAAATTTGGAGAATTTCACTCACTTTCTTTATTTTGGAGAATATGCTAGAGCAAAAAACTTGCCCAAAATCCCCAAAATCTCCATTTTAGAGAATCGGAGATGTTGTAAGCTCATGTTTGGTTTGAAGGATTGGATTGGATTTGGAGAGATTTGGAATTGAATTCCATTTCAATCCCATGTTTGCTTTAAAGGATTTCCGGGATTTGAAATCCCACAAACATAGGATTTTGAAATCCCAAACGCTCCCTAAGGGTTCAAGGTGGGGTGTGCTTGTATTACCATTTCCAAGCTCATATTTAGTTTTTCAAATTTAGCATATATGTCTTTCTCTCTCTATCTATTTGTATTGCAATCGTTAACTAATTGCTCATATCTAGTCTTTCAAGGTTTAGCATGTCTGTATTTCTCCCTTTCACATACTTTTCACTAGCCGGGGGTCTTCGAAGTTCAGGTTTGCGTACATCTTACCCCCACCCCACCTCTAGGTGGGATATACTGGGCTCTTTTGGTTTGATTTGGTTTATTGCTAATATATAAGGTTCATAGAGGCTAGAATTAAAGAACGGGAATAAAGATAGGCTGGTAACGGAAAAATACCGCTGTTGCCCCCGCCTTCTCCAAATTGAGTCCATGATCAACATCATGAGCACGCACAAAAGTTTTCACATTAGGGAAGTACTTGCTGAGAGCCCAGACGGTTCTATAATTTGCACCAGGAGTATCTAAAGTTATTGCTGCAGCACAAGCTCTTTCAGCTCCGATCTTATGCAAGACCTGGTAGTTCAAGTGCACAAAAGAACGTCAGACTGAGGACCTGGTAGTTCAAGTGCACAAAAGAAGGACAGACTGAGGACCTGGTAGTCCTTGGCCTCCTAGGAGGTCAAGGGTTCAAACCTCACAAAAGGTGAGGAGGGTCTGTGAGTTTAGTTGTTCTATTTGCTGTATATAAATATTATATACTTAAAAAAGAAAGAACGTCAGACTGAGGACATGGAAGTTCAAGTGCACAAAAGTAAGTGTATACTTCCCAATTCTACTCTTGACTATGAGATGGAGAAATTCATTACTTTACTCCCTCTATTATCAAGGGTAAAATTGTCATTTAGTTGATTGTAGTAATTATAGGTTTCTGAAACCATGTGTCTTTTTCACTGGTGTTCACATATACACCCTCCGTCCCAAAATAAATGTCCAAAATGAAAGACACAGTTTTAGAAATATGTAATTATTACACTTTTGAATCAACTAAATGACAATTTACCCTTTATATAGAGGGAGTAATGAAATTCTCCGTCTCATAATTAAGGGTAGAATAGAAAAGTATACACTTTTGAAAGTGGATAGTTATTTTGGGACAAAGTAAAAATAGAAATGTGGACGCTTATTTTGGGACGGAGGGAGTTAAAGAAATTAGCAGCTTCACCTCTCGACTGCCAGCATCTCCAAAATACACAGGAAGATCAAGCGCACGTCCAACTGCTACTCGATCACTGATATCACAAAAACCTTAGATGTCAATCAGCTAGTTATATACTTTCGGAAATGGTGTAAACTAAAAAGCACATATTCACAGATATAAATTGATTTTTTTAGTTATATTTTTTTGGCAGCATGTAATTTGATTGCTGGACATGGTCCAAAGTTCATAACATGTTGAAAAATAAACATAAACCTGATAATAAAAACGAAAATGAAAGTTCTCTTTTCTAATAATTGGTTTTCCTCTTCTTTTTTGAGGTTGTGGGTGAACAAACCATAACTTAGTCAGGCAAACCACAAGGTAGGACAATTTATCACCTGCTTTCTCTCTTCTTTTCTTTTAATTTCCAAACTTTAACTTAAAAAGCGAAGTTACAGAAGAATAACAGTAACATAATCTATGGTTGCTGAAATTTTGTTAATAAGAAAAAAACAATCTTTTTTCAGAGTATCATTTTTATGATAAAGGGTAAAATTTTAAGTACTCCCTCTGTCCAAAATAAGTGTCCACATTTATATTTTAGTATGCCGCAAAATAAGTGTCTACTTTCCCATTCTACCCTTAATTATGAGCTGGAGAAAATCTGTAGTATTAAGGGTAAAATTGTCTATTAATTAACTAAAAAGTATAATAATTACACAGTCGTAAAACTATGTGCCTTTTTTGTTGTGGACATTTATTTTGGGGGTGGGGGAGTACTGCATACATAGAAGAAAGTTATCACCATTTATAAGAAATTCAAACAGAAAATGGACAAGACAGAAAAACCATCATTCCAAGTGTCCCAACCTATCTTTGTAACCGTTTTTATTATTACAAAATCAGGCTCCATATTTGAATGGGAAAGTAGACACTTATTTTGCGTTAATGCAGTCTCGATTACATTTACCAGTATTTTAATCATTTTCAACTTAACCTAGCTTTCACTTTGGGGCGGATGAAAATACATCGAATAAGAAATTATAGACGATGCAAGAAGATGTATTTAGACAATGATTTATAAATAAATATGCAGAGATGTGTGTCTTCATGTGAGATTCACTAAGGGCATGTTTGTTAGCAGCTTAATGAGCTTAATGAGACTCCCCGCTTATATGCTCAACTATATATGACTGTTTGGTAGTGGCTTAATGATATAGAAAGTGGCTTGTTCAATAAGCTTCTAAGGGGGAGCTTTAAGCAGAAAGCCAAGTTTTTCCGAAACCTGCCCCTCCCAATTAAAAAACAAGCTCTTTCCATCTATGAAAAACCCTCCCAAACAAAAACATTTCCAATCTAAACAGACAAATTAATCCACACAGACAACTTTATCCATACAGGACTTAATGGAAAACCAACCAAACAGCACCGAAGTTTGTTTGGTTTGGTTTGCTTTGGTTTTGTTTTCTGAAGAGATGTGCAGATGCATGTGATAGTTGGATGGAGAAGAGACAGTTAATGCAGAAAAGTAAAAAAAAAAACTCCATACCTCCTCACATCGAGAGCAACGAATGGAATTAGTCTTTCAGAAAGAAGCTGAGCAATGATCTGAAAGAACCAGAAAGTTGGAAATAATATTACAAACCACCACATTATGTTCATATGCATCTTATGGACTATTAGTAACAAACATGATTGAAGATTATGCTATACCTGTCCTACTCGTCCGAAACCACATATGATGATATGATCCTGCAAATCATCGGTCTGAAAACAGGATCAAAAGAGCACAAGAAATAAGCCACGAGGAAATGATTTGATCCATGTAGGTGGTGCCAAAATCACATCATAGGAAGATAAATCTACATATGTGGAGAAACAAGATCTTATCGAGAAACAAAGAATCAAGCCTGAACAGAGATCACGTACATAGAGGAAAAGTGAAAACATCATATTTAGTAACGGTTTTGAAGTCCCATGGGCCAAGTGGTGATACGGCATGTAGAATGGCTCCAGAGTAATTTAACATCTATTTCCTATTTGATTAGAGAACAGGAATTTATGCACTCTTAACTTATTTTTTTCATAAATTCACTTGAAAGCAGATTACATGCTGAGAACGACTGAACAATGATCGAAAATCAACTTTCTATCTACTTGATTAAAATACAGAATTTACCATAATGTGTGTGTCTTTGCATGAAAGAGAGCATATGGTTCATCCCAGTAAAAGCAGCTAACCATGTGAATACATCTCTTATTTCAACAAGCTATTTGGAGCCAGGGTTGGGTTCCGGTGAGAATGGAAGTTATGGTGAGAAGGGTGAGAAGGGATCTCCACCCTTGGATCAACCCTAATTGAAGATCAACAATAATGCGGTGCACCACGATGCACCAGATCAATCCCCATGAGAAGCGCAATTCATGGGACGGGGGTGAAATAAAAAATGATCAAGGGTCCAAATCCCTTCTTACACTTCTTACTTAACTCCTATTCTCACGATCCTTCGTCTTTGGAGACATGTATATTTGGGAAAACTAATTTGTATGATCCCATAAAAAAAACGACAATGCTTGTGCTAGCACTATCACGCTCACACAGGCCGCTATGGGTCGACCCATGGGACCTACCATATCTAGCGTGGCACTATCCATTTGTGAGAGAACACAAGTTAGGCACACCCCATAACATTTGCATAAGAGAAACACTGCACATACAAAAGATTATGCTCTTGACTCCTATAACGTCAAATGGCAGACTAGCAGTAGAATATACTCGGGAATATTACCTCACTCTCTACAGGTAATAAGCTACGAACGTCTTGCTGCTCAAAGCGTGATGCTATCAACTGGCCTCCAGCAGCTAACCATGGTGTGATGGCCATTGAAATCCCCACCACGAGAAACAGCAAAGAAGACAACTGAGAAGTCATGATTCCCTGAAAAGAACATAAAGTGGAAGTGATATACATAACACAAATACTTCCAGTTCCATAAACTTAAGTACAAATGACGCTTATCTACAATCTCGAGAGATGGATGTATCTATACCAACATGAAAGTGAACTTTAAGAAAAAAACCAGCACCAGGGCATCTGTTTGCAAGAGAACTATACCCAGAAGTGGGAAAAGGATGTGAGGAGACATTTGTTCCGGATAAATCCAAGATTGGACCATATGACCTTCCTTGAGAAGGGTGGATGATTGGGTTGGAGGGAGGGTGGAGTTAGGAGGGGGGTAGGCCGGTGCTGGACCCCCCCCCCCCCCCCCAACTGTTGGACTTGCCTACCATTATATAATATTATACCACATCCCATCAATCCACAGATTTAGCCTCTGCGACCATCCATTTCCACAAGTTTCCAACTACAATCGAGCGTCAAACTCTTCCAGTTCCTTTGCAGACTGTAGAAACTATACCCATAAGACTGATCTAACTTCTTTGATTTGCCATCAACAAAATTAAATTTATGAAGAAAAGGAGGAAGAAGAAAAATCCAATTCAACATGCTTTATGCTATAACCAGTTAGCTCCAAAAGGCTTCCTCCTAACAACTTGCACTACCTTAATCTATCAGGTATAGCTACACCCAGAAACTGAAAACAATATAAGGAAAAGGAAGATGCTTTGGTGCTTCCATACATATATGTGAAGTCACAACATTAATACCAAGGTATTGACAATAAAGCAGTAAACACTCAGACAACTTAGTTCACTAAAGCTCACCTGATTGACAGCTTCACCAAATGCCACAAATGCAAATTCTCCACCAGGTGCAAGCAGAAGACCAGCTCTGATTGCAGATATCAATGAGACACCAAAAAGCCTACCAACAACAACCACCAGTGTGGTCTTGCCAGCAATCAGAAGTGCTAACGAACCCATAATAACAGGAAAGTTTGAAACAAGAAGTTTTGGATCAATCGACATTCCAACCTGAAAAAGAATTAATGTTGTCAATGATTGCAAAGGCATAGTAAATAGGTTTGGTATCTATAAAATGTCTAACCCTAAACCAGGCATTTGACAGTCAATTTTCCCCCAGTTTCTGGCATCAGGAAGCTAGCATAATCTTCTTGTTGTTGAAATACCAAGCATGAATAAGAGCCAAAGACTCCACATCATAGTGACAGAGAAATTACATTAAGGACTTTCATAACCCACAAGATGTTTCCGATACAATTTCTCATGGGTTTCTTCTTATAAAGAAGAGTTTCACTGAGCTCCCTTCTTTCATAATCAATCAGTATCAACGTGTGCAATTGCTAGATAAGCGAGTGAAAAATATAATAAACTTATAACTAAACCAAACGAACCCAATAAATACCACACCAGATAGGGTTTGGGAAGGGTAAGACGTGCGCAGACCTTTCCTCTATTCCAATTTCCAAGGAGTAGAGACGTTGTTACCGTGAAGACTCCATCTTGAGGAAAAGGTATAATATAGAATTTTGAGGAGGTTTAAGAAATGAACTTTTGAAGAGTTAATGAAGGGTTTGAGACAAACTTGGAAGGAAGAAAGGCTTGGAAAAATAGGGCAAGTACGCACAATAAACGACATGAGAAAAGATTAAAACAAGTAAGGATATTAAAAGCATAAGGAGAAGTATGAAACAACTAAACAACCTAAAACTACAGAGTATGGTAAAACGTTAGAACAAGTAAGTGAACCAAAAGACCCCATCCTGGGTAAACTTGCACAAAAGCTACTCCTCACTACTCCCAAAGAATCCGCCTATCTATCCTAGGACAATGATACCTAGTTGTCGGCTCTCTAACCTTCCCCCATCCCACCCTCTACCACTCCAACCCCCTCCCCGGACGACATTAACCACAAGTCCTTACACAAAATCTACCAACTTAGTCATGCATCTCCAAGAACTCCTATTTGAGGTCATGTATTTGGATATGCCTAAAGCTACAATGTCCAGAATTTATATTATTAGAATTTAATTTCTAAAACCATCTCCTTCTATTAGATTCATACCAAATCTAATCAGCCACTTCCTGTAAAGGCTTTCAGCCTTGAAACACCATCCCAATATCAAGATCTCATGCACTTGGTTCCCTCTCCATACATTAAGACAGTCAAGTTTGCAACACATACCGTCATGAAGAAGAGGCCTAAAAGAAGCCCACGATATGGAGCAATATCTGATTCAACCTGCAAAGAGAATTCAGTTTCTGCTAGTAGCAAACCAGCCAAAAATGCACCTAGAGCCATGGAAAGGCCAGCCTGTTCCATTTATCATGAGAAAAAGAACTATTAGTGCTAAAGTAATTTTCAAATATAATCATCAATATCACAAGTCTACTCACCCTGGCAGTAAGGAGACTAGTTCCCAGGATAACTAGGAGAGTATTTGCAGAGAATATCTCGGCATTTTGCATCTCTGCAATTTGCTTGTATATCGGGCGAAGCAACTGCAAGAGCAAGTGGGATATAAGCTAACAACTCCCCACAAAATGTATTGAAATTTCTACCAATATACTTTGTCAAGGTGCCAAATGCGTCATAGTGAGCTGAATGCTTAACAGGTTAACGTTAAGCATGTTTTCATATGATTTAACATGGGGTCTTCCAGGGACCATAGAAAAATCTTTTTGGTCCATGTCATGGGGAAGCAACTAAGAGGGTAAGATCCTTTTCTTACACTTCTATCAGAGTATCGACAGCCATTGAAGAAAACGTTGAGATGACAAGATTAATATATAGCTCCTTATATAAAAAAAATCGCAATACATTCTAAACTGCCAGCTTATTTAGGTCACCCATGCCTTAAAGCTTATGTACCCAAGGAAATTATTACAGAAAGATACAAGTCAAGAGTCAAGACTCAAGTTACAAATGCAGTGTCGGAAGCTTAAATTATTCAACCACTTGATTCGATAATAAATTTCACAAATGCATAGAAACTTACCAAGCGTCCTCCAGCAATAATGGCGCTAATAGCAACAAGTGCCTTGACAGCAGCCAATCCAAGAGCTTCAGCAATTGCTTGGAAGCCGATCTGAGAACATAAAAAGATTGTTTGTCAAAAAAGGAGTTAGAGCTATGTGATCCCTGATCAGGTTACAAATGAGAAATTGATACAAGAAGTTACAGCTGTGAGACCAGGTTAGCAATTTACTTCTAAGTTAAGAACAAATAGCTCAGGGTTAACAGATATACATTCAAAGAGCACGTATAGCAGTATTAGCATCAAAGAATAAACAACATGGGTAGATTTAGAGCAGGAAATATCCATTAGATGAATGGTATGTGTTATTAAAAATACTTACCCCTCCTTTTGACGAATTCGGTGAAATAAGAGGTATGAGAATCAGCAAAACCACTACAGCTAGATCCTGGCAAAAAGGGGACAAAATAGCAGTCGGGTTGAAAAGGTATCGGCGTACAGGTTAAAACTACAAAATAGCATGATTTCTTCCGCTGTTATAGGAAATAGAAGGGACATAAAGAAATGATAAGATCAGAATTGTAGAAAACCATTCCATATGGAGTCCATAGTGGAGAAACAATGATCCCTATTACAGTGGACCCTAACCGAGTAATGCACATGCAAGTGCCAGGTTACAATGCCCAGGTGGTGTTTTTGGATAAACAAGTAGATAACAGATGAGCGGGAATTATATAACACAATACTTGCTCAACCAGAAGATCTGCAACCTGTCCTACTTATCATAACTCAAAATCAAAAGGCATGAATGAATGACGCATTGAATAGCCAGTATTTCAAAAAGAAAAAAAAATTACTCCCTGGTCTCATAATAGATGCAAATAACTCTTCCAGGATGTCCTTTACTATATGCACAATTTATACTCGGTTACACCCATAAGCAGTTACTCATATCACTTGCTTTGATGTGCATTATTCCACCACCATAATTATCATTAACCTTTCGCTTTTTGAGATGTGCTTTGGATAATCAATTTTAATCTCAAAACACTTTTCTAAATGCTTGTGCAAGACCACTTGTAGCAGCTACTGTGTATCCGCGAGTATATAAGAACCACAATTTCATCAAAGTCATGAAACCAGCATGAACTTAGCTCCCCAACCAACCATTTACCCGGTAGATGAGAGAAAGTAGGGCGAAGAAGGTGTGAGAAGTAGAGATATAGAGAGGGAGCACAGTTAAGGAAGGAGCAAGAAAACATAGAATACCTGAAAAAGTAGAACAGAAAATGTAGCTCGTCCATGACGTGATGTGCTCTCACCTCGTTCCTGCAAGACCTGCAAGTGGAAGATTCATATTGAATTAATTAATAAGCAACGTTAAAAAGGAAGTGATAGCAGCATTGGCTAGATCTCTTAAGAGACATAAAAACAAGTTTCCGTGAACAAGGGTGTGGTGATAGTTTAGTACTTAGGGTATTCTAGTCATCCTAGGTTGTTAAGAACCTACCTTGGATAACATTTCTCCGAGTTAAGTTAGGTATATAAACCCACTCAGAAATTCGAAACTTCACTATAAAGTTGACTGCTTAAACTACAGAAACATAGTAGTGCTTCACCGTTTCTGTAAGGCCCAATGTAATGATTGTATATCTCTAATATAAAGATAGATCCACTGTCTCACAATGACTCTCTTACTCTCCTACTCTCCTACATGTATACGCGCATGGTCTTAAAAATCATTTGAGGCATACGCCTTGAGGAAACCGCACCTGAGGCGGCGCCTGATCCTGGACGAGGCTTACGCGTTGGTTCAGTGAGGCGTGAGGCATGAGGCGTTGTCGAGGAGTACGCCTTAGATGATCTGCTTTGCTAATGGTTTTTTGGCTTTTCTATAAGCTCTATGGCAGTATTAATACTTCTCTTTGTAGGATAAATGTCTTCTTGTTTTACAAAACTAAAAGGCAAAGCCTAATGGCCCCAATGTGTAATTTCAGTATTCTAAAACCCAAAAAACTTGTGCTTTTTCTCCTCTTAATTAAAAAGTGTGGGTCAATCTTCCTCTTCCTCCAAGCCACCAATTTTTCCACACCCTCTCAGCCTATCTCACGGTTTCACTCTTTCCTCTATCAAGAACCACTGAACCAGCGCCCTTAGTACTTTAGTATTATATATTGTATATAAATGTTTATATATATATTTGTGTAGTATATATACATATTTTGGGGTATATATATTTCCGCGTGGCTTACGCCTCGGACCGCCTCAGGGCTTACACCTCGCCTCGAGGCCCGATTCCACCTTTTAAAACCTTTTATACAGGGCAAATATATAGGATCCAGACTAAGACATGTTTCAATATTACAACTAAACGAGGCTAGGTTTTCATTTATTTAGATGATCTTCCAGATAGACCAGGGGAACAACGCATGCTCATTTCCAAATTACAACAACGCTACTAAAAATGTCAATGACGATAAAAAGAACTACCAAAGTTGCAAACAAAAGGAAAAATAATTGCAGTCATTTCATTTATGCTACTGATGATTACCTGGAGGACAACAGCAGTGGAAGATAAAGCCAGGCCATTACCAATGACGATTGCAGCTGGCCCTAGCTGTCCACAGACAATATGGGCAACCAAACCAACCACAGCAGCTGTCACCAAGACCTGCATCAACAAGGGCTTAGATATTGGGAGTGATACAGTAAAAACAAAGAATGATGCAGGCTTGTTGGTGATTATGAAAACAAATCTTCGCAATTACCTGAGCGGACCCTAATCCAAAAACATATTTCTTCATGGAACTCAACCTTTCAACAGAAAGCTGCACAGAGTGTACACTTTCAAGCTTCAACTTTCTTCGGATACAGATGCAAGAACTATAGATAAACTTAAATCAGACTTAACGTATACTAACCTCAAGACCAATATTAAAAAGCAAGAAAACAACTCCAAATTCAGCTATTGCTTTTGTAGCATGTACATTGCGTATAATTGAAAGACCATATGGTCCAATCAAGATGCCAGCAGTCAGATACCCAAGAACAGGACTACCTAAATATGCACAATTGGATGGAAAGCAAACCATTAGGTGACGACCACCTGTATCTCTACATGCATAGAATGTTCTAAACTTGGAAAATATGAATTAACAAGATTCAAATACAAATGACTGATAAACAATATTTTCATGACATGATCTACAAGTATATAGCAGAAAGTCGATTGATATTTTGACAAACATTTTGAACAGCAAAGCATATACTAAGACACAAGCTGACAGTACTAACAGAAATACATCAAGAACAGTGTTCCGTCTCCACTGCTAGTTGGATAAACTAAAATTTTAGTACCTCCAGGAAGTTTCTGGAATATAGGCACAAAGATAACACTGGCGAGTAACAACCATACAATGTCCAACAAGGAGGCTTCTTCTTCATTTATCTGAATAGATTGAACAGCAATCAGTAAACACAAAGATAATATTAAATAGCATTCACTTGCCAACTTGAAGACTACGGCAGATAATACAAGTCAAATGAAGGACGGCATACCTCTTGATGAGGAAGCTTCTCAATTAGCTTTTTGACTCTCTTCGGTAAATTCCTTATATGTCTGACCAGTGGCTTAGCATTTGACGATACTTCATCAATACTGGTGGTGATAATGTCAGGTTGTTGAAATAGTTTGTGGATCCGTTCTTCTCGTTTAGCATAAAAAGCAAAACTGACATGTACATAAGCATCATGTGAAAAGAGGAGAACGATGTAGCACCAAATATTTAAATATAAGAAGGCATTAATAATAAGCATGCCTTCTATTCCATTTATTTTCTTTTGAATAACTGAGCTAGAAGGAAATATTTACCCTGCACCAACAAGCAAAGCGCCAAGCACCAGCTTAGGTATTTGCGTTCTTGTGGAATCGATTAGCCACTGGAAAATTGAAGTTGGGGTAAACTCGGTATCATCCTCTGCAGAAGAGAAAAATGATGCTGGAAAGAATCGAGAGGATTTCTTCAATAATGTTTTAGGAGAATTCGATGGTGAGCTGTCCTTGGTCAAATCCTTATGTGTTTCTGGCTTTTTTGTTTGATTCTTCGTCTTTTCTGCATCATATTCAATCTCTTTTGATGGTAAATTTGGTTTTCCATTCTCTTGGTCACTTTCATCAGAAAATCTCGACTCCTCAAACATTTGGCTAGGAGTACTTAACTGGCTATCTGGTACATCCTCATTGATTAAAGATCCCTCAATCGATATATCGCTGTATCTCTCAATTACCTCAACTGAATTTCCTTGAATGGCCTTGTCCTCACCATATGGATCCTCACTTGATGCCAGTCCTTGAGATGACAACACATTCTGGGAAATGGAACTTTCAGTATTATCCACATGGGAGACGGAATGCATTTTCTCAGCTTTCTGCAACATGATCTCAGCATCATTAACACGTTTTGTAGCCTCGAGTTCAAAAGCAACAGCTTGCTCTGCTAAAAGCATTATATTTGCCACATCCTCCTCAGCTCTCAAAGCATCCATTTCTGCTTTCTGCGCAAGATCTTTGAGCATGTCCACTTCTCTTTGCAATGCATCTTTCCTGTTCTGCAACTGAATTAATGCTCCCTCACAATTTGACAAAGTCACACAACACTCTCTTGCATCTTCCTGAGCAACAAAGACAGCTTCCTCTTCTTCTTTCAATGGATTCAACTTCTCTACTTCGCTTTCATGCTCTGAAGAAACATTTCTTTCTTTTGCAATTTCTAAGGAATCAAGCGCCACACTAAACCTAGCCTCCGACAAAGATAGAGCCATTGTTGCTCTCTGAACAGCTTCCTTAGCAGCAATCTCTTCATTTGCAATCTCTTCAATAGAAACCAAAGCTGAATTGACATTATCCCAAGCATTGGAAGCTTCATCCTTTAATGCTATTGCTGACTCCGATATCCTTTGAGCCTTCTCTTCAAACATGGTACTATTGAGTTGGGCTATCTCCAACTCCTTAAGTGCCTTCTGCAACACTTTTGTCAATTCATCTAGACTTAGATTCTCTACTTCCTCTTCTTCTCCCTCACCACTTGATTCATGCATCTTCTCTGAACCAAAATTAGTTTCCCCTGTTGAGTTCTCTCCACTACTACTTTCAATAAACTCAACATCCCTCCCGTTTCCATCTATATATGCAATTGAATCATTTCCCTGACAAGATGCCTTTACTCCTCTTGATGTCTTAGGTATACAAACAATGCATTTCGATTTACTATAACTCCACAAACAACTGTTCAATTCACCTCCAGATATATTACTTGAATTAACAACACTACGACTTGACACTATCAATTTCTTCAACTTCTTCCTAGGACCAACTTCTAACACAAGCCGTGTATTGCCAAACAATTTATAATTAAACCTGGACCGCACAGGCAGCTGCTTTAACACTCTACAACTAGTACCTTCAGTGCCACGGATATGGAAACTACATGAGATGTCCATATCTACTTTTCTTCTTCACTTTCTAACTCCTAATTGAGAGTCAAAGCAACCGTCTTTCTGCTGTCATCATTCATCTGTTGAAGCAAATTGATTTAACACAATTAAGAATAGACTCAAGCTTGATCATCCAAAGACGTAATTCAAAAAAAATGACTCAAATTACATTAAAGAAGTTGCATCATACTACTACTTCAAAATTGGAAACAAGTGAACTACTCATAGGCAGGAAATAAAATGGCTTTGTATGCTTGCCTTAAGAATTAAATTTCAACCATCAAAAATCCAATCTTGTAATCAGACTTCAATATCACTTAAATGTACCTCAAAAGCCGGATTACTGGAATTTTAAGCAAGATCAAGTTATGTTGCTTTAAGTACAGAAACAAACACATGCTATATATTGCATTATATATGTGCTTGAAATTCCAAATTTTAATCATCCCAAGTCTAATTTGTATAACTGGATTCCAACAAAAGTCAGATGTACCCAAAACCTCTACTACTTTAAGTTGAGCAAATCTTCCATCAAAATCACACACACATTCCCATATGGATGAATACGTGTGTGTGTGTGTGTGTGTGTGTGTGTGTTTAAATAATGCAAATCTCAACCATGAGTAGACCGTACATAATATAGCTCAGTATCTATCAAATTTGACCTAAGAACTCGACTATTAAAACTTAAAACTATTCATCGAAAATACAAACCTCAAAATACCAGACCCCCACAGTAACCTGCATGTGTGAACGACTATATACACATGGACGATCTTTATATCAAATTTCAATCATCCAAAATCCTAACTTCCCTTAGTTCGATTTCAATATTCATTATAAGTAGCCTAAAAACATTTCAACCATCAATTACTTACAGCTAATCAAGTAACCATTATACATTCTACTTCAAAATGAACACCAAAGGAATTCCTGTATACATATTCGTGTAGCTACATCTCTATAAATGTATGACAAACAGGCACCAACATAAACCTACAACGTCCATATGCAAATGCGTGTCCGAAATATCAAATTTTCAATAATCCAAAATCTGATTTCCATTAGGTTGACTTCAATATTCATTACATATTCCCTATAAAAACAGTACAACAATACGTATTATCAAGCTTCCATTATACATTCTATTTCAAAATAAACATCAATATATATATATATATGTATGTATGTATATGTGTAACTAGAGCTGCATAAGTGTAGGCAGATGTGTAAGATCTTACTGATCGATCGTGACATGAGTGGTAGAATTGGAAGCTTGAGCTCGAAAATATCAATGGCGGATTTTTTGAGGGAAAAAATTAGGTTAAAAATGGAAAAGATGAAGGGGATGATGACGTCAGCCTCTCAGGTGAGAGGGGTGTGCACAAAAATAAAGAATATACGAAAAGATGCCCCCTGCCGTTTAAATAGAAAACCAGATTCAAAAGCAAAATTCATTCAATTTGTAATAATATTTATAGAAATTAATATCTGGACAAAAAGTTGATTACCGAAAACCTTAACGGGTAGGTATGGCAACAGGGTGGGGATATGGCGTGTTTTCTAATCCCGGTTCCGGTTTCTATGAAATGCCCCCCGGCCTCGGCCCCAACGGACGGTTTATCTTCTGGTCAAACCCCGTTCAAACTCCGATCCTCGTCTCTGATCAAGACCTAATTTTAGAAAATAATATATATATATATATATGTATATAATATATTAGAAGGATACTCATGCAATATAACGAGATACATCGAGATAATGTTTCGTTTTATTTTTTGTCTATGTCGATATAATACGATTTTATGTGGTTTTGAGAAAGCGATAATGTTTATATTCATTAAAATTTGAAAAAAAAAAATATCTCGATATTAATATCAAATTAACTATTTATAATTTCTCGTTTTTTATGTAATTTCTTTCAAAAAAAATTATTATAATTTAACTTAGGTTTAATAACGAAATAATTTATTTTTAGTTTAATAATATAATTTTTATAATGATAATAATTAAGTATTTTGTTATAAGTATAACTCAATTATTATTCTAATTATAGTTTAGATTTTTTATATTTAAAATGAGATATTTATCATGTAGTTGATTATGTTTATCTGCACTTAGTTACACGAATTCAAACATAAAGSTTTAATAAGTTGTAATTATGCATAATTTACTTGTAACCTCGAATTTTAAGTAATATGTATCAATAAACAGTACTTCATGCATAAAAAATGGTTTTAAAGAGTATTTGTCAAATAATTTATAATATAGTATAGATATACATGTATTAATAAAATTATATACCGGGTACGGGCTGGTCAGGGGATACGCTACCCGGCCCCAACCCTGGTTTGAGTCTACCGAGGATCCCCGGCCTCGGTCCCGAGACCCTTTTTAGCGGGGAATCCCTGTTCCCATTCAGGTCGGGTGAGCCGGGTTCCCCACGGGTCGAGGCAAATCACCATCCCTATTAACCGGTCTCATATGAAACCCATCTTTAAGAACATCAATGTTAGCGGAGGCTGATTCAGGAGGGTATTTTTGTGGTTGCACCGTATCACACAACCAAACAAAATTGTAGCAGCCTTAAGAACCTTAGAACAAAATTACACTATATCTGAAAGATTTTGTGGTTGCACGGGTACCCACTGGAACCCCTTAAATCGCCCCCTGAATGTTAGGGGCAATTTTTGCTGGTAGTCAACTTTTTGCATATATTTTTTGGCTTACTCAACAGTTAAGGCTAGCAAAGGCCTATTATTGAATTCAGACCTGTCGTGTATTTAGGGAAAATCACTTCGCCCATTTGTCAACTCAGCTATGCATCAGAGCCTATGAAAATTAATATTTTTCTAATATGATGATTAATTATTATTATTTTCTTCAAATAAGAGACCGTTTACTAAACACTTACCAGGTAAGTGTTGATCGGGCAACTTTCCTCACCTGATGCACATGGCAAGAGCCGAAAATCTTACCCGGTAAAAGCGATGATAAGGATAGAGAGTCTTACCCGGTAAGTGATGGTGAGGACTCTTACCCGAGTAAGCGTTTACCGGGTAAATTTTTGCATACAATACCCTTTTTCGTATACTACAATCTTATATGATAAAATAGATTATGGTGTTGACTCCTACTGGAAAGCACTTACCGGGTAAGTATTTAGATAAACGGCCCCTAAGTATTCGTATCGTAAAAATGCACACAATTTTTAAAAAATATGTAATTACAGGATGATCATTTGAGAACCCATAGAACTGTGAGAATCCTGAGAATCCTGAGAATATATGAAGTTCTCATTTATTCCCCGATGTAATTATTACACTTCTTTTAATTAGCTAAATGTCAATTTTACCCATGATAAGTATAGTGAGCAAGGAATTTCTTCATTTTGTAATTAAGGGTCAAAATTGGAATGTAGATACATAATTTGAAAATGGACATTTATTTTAGGACAAACTAAAATAGAAATGTAGACACTTATTTTTGAACAGAGGAAGTGATAAAATGTTAATATCTTTCCATTTATACCTATTTCACTTGATAAATAGGTTTCTAGGGTTGATTTTTTTAATGTGTTATTTTTTCACATAATCAATAATTATAGTAAAACTTGACAACTTGACATTTGCAGCATCAGCGGTTACAATTGCCTCTTTTTTAAGTATATAATATTTATATACAGCAAATGCAACAAATAAACTCACACACCCTCTTCACCTTTGGTAAGGTTTGAACCTCTGACCTCCTAGAAGGCCAAAGACTACGATAACCGCTAGGCCAAAGGCCATTTAGTTACAACTCCCTGTTACATGTCAAATTGGCTACATAATAAAAATAATTGGATGTTTGTTACGTTACTTGAGAAAAAAGTTCATTCGTTACATAAAATAAGAATTAAAGGAAACGTTATTGCAGTTTGGCCTTTTTGAACCTAATTTGTTTTTGTCGAATACAGTTTTGATAGATATTTTCAAATTATTTACGTTTTTAATCAAGTTTGTTTATTCGGACGTCAACATTTTCGTATTTGTTGAACTAAAAACTAGAAGATAACTGCAAACACCGTTGCATCGATCTGATTCGATTGTGTGAAGGTCAAGAAAAGTTTTTATATTTATATTTGATTGTGACATCTCAGACTAATCGTATCAGATATTGTTTTTTTTGGTTAAATCTGGCCTCACAGCTTTAAAACACGTCTGATAGAAGAGGTATACAGTCTCTTATAAGAAAACATCTGTTCCTCTCCCCAACCGATGTAGGGTCTTACAGATTATTTTTTGTACTAATGTTTTATTACGTATTCGGGACGTATTGGCACTTTACATTGTATGGACACGTCATCATCGAATTTATTTTTAACTCGTGATTTTTATATGATTATTGGGATTAAGTACGTAGGCACAAACTGCACCGCTCTTCGAAGTGTTGTTTTTTGCAGTTTGAAGCATATATGGTGCGGTTTATAATTTTGCCCTAAATCGTAACAGATTCTGAATATTTTATGCATTTTATAAAGATATTGTGTTTGTGACTTAAGGGTTCTTAAGGGCTCGTTTGTAAAGTTCCAAACATAAAGTTCGGAATACTTTATTTCATCTCTATATTTTTTTACATGATCCATCACGAATCACGATAAGTAACAACATCGTGCAGCAGTACTACAAATAAACATCTGGTTTTTTTAGGAACGTTAACAATGAACCCCACGTCTTGTGACAAACTGCTTAGAGCTCCTCTCTATTCATCAGATGCTTGCTTGGTTTCATCTTCAGGTGCCTTCTCTGCTTGTTCATTTTCATTGTTCTTGCGGTTTGCAGCCTTCAGAACATGAGCGAAATCGCCTTTCTCCATGAAGAGTTGCGAAAAATGGTGTCTGCAGTAAAGAACGCTGTTGTGGGCAGCATATGAGGAGTGCGTCAAAGGACAACCCCTATAAGCACACCTGAAACAACGTTTGTGGTACGGTTCACCTTCCATCGTAATCTGGTTTCACCAAAAATTACTCGTTAGTTGTTAGCAGAGATGCAAGTTATCTGTTCCCGACTAATATGGGCGTCCAATCCTCTTAACTTTTAAGGTACGGTCCGATTAACAAACAAAACGTCTTTAATAAGTCATTAGGTTGAAAGCTATGACTGATCTGGACCCCACAGTCATAACTGTCCGGACCAGGCCCATAGTCAATTGTTCTTATGCTGAACTAGGTTTGAATACCTAGTCCTAATCTGATCATTTTCAAACCAGTTCTTATCTAGGAAATTAAATATCGTTTCGACATATGAAAATGTAATTGTGGAATCAACGACGAACAAACCTGTTCGAGAGGATAAACAGTTTTGTGACAGGCAGGGCATTTGTCTTGGGTGCCCGTGAAGAAAGATGCGAATTTGTGTGGAGCACGTGCCTGTGTATCATAATAATCAATCAGTTCTTTTGTTTTGTTAATAACATATCAGTATTTTCCAAACAGAAAACGTACCGTTGAATTTTCTTTATTCAGTTTTGCTGCAAGAATTACCGAAAGAAACCATTTAGCGAAAACCCGAAAAATATTTAATTAAATTTAAAATAAATTAATAAATAAAATAAATCTTACATGTACGAAAATTCTTGCTGAAATTTCCAGTTTCTTTGAATAGTTGTTCGAAATGGGGCTTGCAATATAGGACTCCATCCATGGAGGAGTAGTTGTACATCTTCAATAATAATAATAAATTATTAAAATAATAATAATAAATAAATAAATATGATTAAAAAATAATGTGTTTTTCATTAAGTCATGTATGAATAAAGTTGTCTGTATTGATTTATTTGTCTGTATGAATTGAGAAAGTTTTTTGTTTAGGAAAGTTTTTTTTATAGATGAAAGGAACGTGTTTTTTATAGTTGAGATGGTCGGTTTGGAAAAACCTTGACTTTCTACATAAAACTTTCCCCTATAAGCTTATTGAATAAGTCACTTTCTATATAATAAAGTCATTACCGAAGAGTCATGTATAGCTGACCGAATAAGCTGTAAGTCTCATTAAGCTTGTTAAGTTGCTAAAAAGTAAATCCTAAATTGGACTGAAGCAACCTTGAATATAAAAAAAATAATGAAAATTTCATTTGTTAAAGAAGAAAATTCGGTTCCAATCTGATTTCTTCTAATCCCAATTGATTCTTCGATTTTTTTGGTTTCACGTATAATTTGTTTTAATCCCAAATGTAACAAATGTAATCTGAAAATTGCAGTCATATCTTAATAAAAAGAACAAATAAACTCGTTAGTCAAATGTCCAAAATACTCTTAGCAATGATAATACAGAAGAATCGTATAGATAATATCATGAAACGAAAAATAGGAAGAAAAAGAAACATACCACAAGATTGCCTTTGCAATGCGTGCATTTGAAGCACGATTTATGATAAATGACGCCATCGACGGTCATATAATCAATGAAATGAACAACCTTATTGCAAGCATTGCATCTATCGACGGTCCCTGCAAATCCCATTTTATCCTTTCTGTTTTTTTGAACGGAAAAAGTTAAGAAAGGGATCGAAGTTGGGTCGATAAAATACGAACAAGAAAGATCAAAGAAAACAGGAAATTTACAAACACAATTATTTTCCACATTGGTTTCTTTGTCGAATGTCGAATTTATACAACGTGAAGTTGAAACGTGGTTGGAGATCCTAATAACAATGAGATAAAATAGGATGGTTAATCCAGTTTTGATGGCATAAAAAAAGGGGGAGCCTTTTCAGTTTTGACAGATTCTGTATACGTCGTAATTAAAAAAAAAATATTATTATATGTTGATACAGTCTAATATTCTGTCTTATTTTGATATATTCTTTAATATTTTCTTTACAACATGATACTATTATTACTTCAATTGCTGAAGTGTATGTCTTTATCAGTATATTTATAATAAGCACGTACAGTTTTTTTTTTAAAGTCAAACGGCTTAATGGGATCGTGTGTGTTTAATATACAAAGTGTCACATATCGATATGCAATAAAAACATCATTTCTTGACATGGTTATATGACAATAAAGATTTCAATTTCATTTCATAACACCTTTCACCACGTTGTTGACCGACACCGAATTAGCAAACCCCAAAACGTATCATGTATGCTATATGTGTCGTGGATATCTATACAACAAAGCTACAATTAGGTGCATATTTGCTGAATTGACATCCTGGTTCCATTTCTCGTTACACAATCTTTTCCGTAAATGTCAACTTTGACTACGTTGGGTTCATTGAATTATTTTGTTTTTTTAAAGGATATTCTAGGCTATGCTTGGACTAATCCCAACAATTGTGATTGTAGGAAATAAGCCCTGATAAACTTAGTGATCACAGTTGTTGTGTACGTTTGGAATCGAATCTTGGACAGATGAGCTATTCCACCACATCCCCCAAGACCTCAACCACTACTCTACAACCCTTGTGATTTTGAATTATATTATTTATGATCATTATTGCACATTGCGAAGATCGACCGAAAAGTTGAGGCCATTTCATGACTATCCACCGGATTGTGGGGATATATGCGTGATAAATAAATGGGAAATGCTTTCCACGTCTTAAAATAAGTGTTCATAATAAAAAGGACACTTTTAATGAATTAAATGACAATTTTACCCTTTACTATTAGGGTCTAATTAATTATCTACATCATAACTAAAGGTAGAGTGGGAAAATATCCACTTATTTTTTAAAAGTGAACATTTATTTTGAAACAAACTGAAATAGAAATGTGGACATTTATTTTAGAACGGAAAAAGTAGATATGAATCTATTTATAGAAATTGCGTTCAGCATAGGCCTCAACCGGATCATTTTTGTTAGATCTACCCTATTTTACAGCATTTATCACACCCAAACACCATAAAATACGGTTGTTACAAGTAAATCGATACACCTAGCCGAACCAACGTCATTTTGTATACGAAATCCCAATAAAACTATTAAATTAAACTATATCAACTACGTTGTTCTAAATGAACCCCTTCTATCGCTAAACGAAACACCTCCACCAATTTTCACACTCACATAGACCGACATCAAGTTCTACGTTTTTATATTTTTCAATGCACGATTAGACCTAAAAAGAACTTATTTAACAACACCCTATCAACTAACAACAAATAAGGCCCTGCCAAAGCCCTTGCGGCCAGGTACGAACCTACATTCATTGATACAGTAACACGAGCCACCGTTTCATGGATCATTCATAATGGGAGAGAAGTATGTTTCTAAAGGGTGTCACCATATAGTTTTTGAAATTGAAAATTAAGCACAAGACTTTGATGGCGTATATGGTTAATGCTTCCGCCTTGGTACAAAAGACCCAGGTTTGAGTCTCACTGGTGTCAAATTTGTTACTTTTTAGCTTAAATTTTGGTGTTTTTTTATATATCCAGTGTTTTTAAAAATAGGCAGGACTCGAACATGGGTCTCTTCTATAGAGGGACAAGAAACCAACCAACAGATAAAATTTTCTTTAGATATTTTCTAGGTCCGCCTCTGCTAGTTGCCATGAAAGTTCACCTGCGATGACTTCAAGCCATTCGTCGCGCCTGAGGATTAGTCGATACGCGTAAGCTGACCCGAAAACCATCTTTAAAATAACACAATAAATCAGTATGGAAGTTATATTTCATTATATGAGGCCATTGTGTTTGTTAAACCTTAAAAGAGGGTGGTTGTACCCATTAATACCAAAATAGAGTCTTACTATTTTCTATTTAAATCATACATACATCAGTATTGGGGGAAGAGGCATAAGCCATAGAGTTCAAAGTTGAATTTATGTGATCTGTAAATCCCCCTAGAACCTAAATGCTTCAAATGATACACGAAAATTCGACAATAATATAGGCTGCACGAATATCGAAGAATAGACTCACTCGGCGTGCTTATTTCTCGTGAACGAGGGGACTGTAAATGGGATACCACATGTTGGATGTTACGTATTCGACAATCTCTTCCTGCATCCAACATCAAATTCCCGAAGAATGATTAGTATTATATAAGGCGGACAAATATATCTCTAAATAAACTTGGAAAATGGAATATAGAGTAACAGCTTAATGGGTTAATACTCTGTTTTATTTATTCTGAAGTTAAGACATGACTTTAGTAATTTCCGAGGACATGACCTCTAATAGGAGCTCGTGGAGATGTAGGACTAGGGTAAGGGGCTACGGGTAGAGATCCGTAGCTAGAGTAGACCTGAGGTAGGGAGCCGGATAGGTAGAGGGTGGGAGATAGGGTTAGTAAGTTAGACCAACGGTGTGTGGTTTCCTTGAATAAGTTATGCTTTTCTTGTATCTACTTCTGTTTGTATGTTATTGCTCTCTCTTAACCAACTTTTCAAATCTCTGTCATTCTTGCTTTCTCTTTGTGTCACACTTTTCACAAGTTGGGGTTCTTCATGGAAACAATCACTCTACTTTTTGAGATAGAGGTTAGGTCTGCGTACATCTTACCAGCCCCAGACCGAGGTGGGATATACTGAGTTTGTTTGGTTTGGTTTTGTAGTTCTATTTATTCTTTTTAAGATTTTTGCACTCAAAAGAAACCAAATATATTGGGAAGTATAGAGGGTTCGGTCATACCTTTGACATGTGGGCAAGCTCTCTGGGCCCGACTTCACCGTGTCCTTCCGCCAGTTCCTCAGCAACAGCTGCCCGAATCACTGCTGCTCCTACTTCAGCAGTAATATGTCGGATGCTGCAAATATAGATCGAGAGTCTCAAGCATCAACCAAGAGTAGACACAATTCATAGTGGACTAGAACTACTTTGTATTGCAATTTTTGACTTGGCTTACTTCAAGAAAATTTGTTTTACTATTTGTTAAAAATATGATACTGTTCAATGTGGACAAAATAAAGGAATATTAGGGGTTGTTTACTAAACACTTACCTTGGTAAGCGCTTACGAGTTCAATTACCTTACCGGGTGAACATAACAAGGACCGAGAATCTTACGTGGTAAGAGGGGAAGGCAAGGATCAAGAGTTTTAACCGGTAAGTGAGGGTGATGACTGATACCCAGTAAGCGCTCACCGGGTTATAAACGCTTACCATCAATCCATTTTTATGGCTGGGAATGTTACCCCGTAAGGTAAATAAGGGTCGTGACTCTTGCCGGCAAGAGTCACCACTCTTATTTACCTTATGGGGTAACATTGCCAGCCATGGATCAATAGTAAGTGCTTATCGAGTAAGAGCCATCACCCTCACTTATCGGGTAAGACTCTTGATCCTTGTCTTCCTTCTTACCGGGTAAGATTCTCAATCCTTGTTATGTTCACCTGATAAAGAAATTGAACAGGTAAGCACTTACCAAGGTAAGTGTTTAGCAAACCTCCTTAATTCCCAAATCACTACCATCAATCTAACCCTTTGATAACTAGGGTTGGGTTCCGGTGAGAACAACCCCTTTTTGTGAGGTGTGAAAAGGTGAAGGTACCTTTATATCATGTGAAGGTTTGTAGATACCCTTATATTGTGGTATGATATAACATTCACACAATATCAAGGTACCTTCACCTTTTCTCACGAAAATGAATATTTCTCACATCATCTTGACTCTAGATAACTAAAGGCCTTTCTATTAGTAGCTTAATGAGCTTAATGAGACTTATAACTTATTCGGTCATCTATACATGGCTATTTGGTAGTGGCTTAATGATATAGAAAGTGACTTATTTAGTAAGCTTCTAAGAGGGAGCTTTATGCAGAAAGCCAAGTTTTTTCCAAATCTGCTCCTCCTAATTGAAAATCACACACCTTCCATCTATGAAAAACCCTCCCAAACAAAAATCTTCCCAATCCATACAGACAGATTAATCCACAGAGACGACTTTATCCATATAGGAGTTAATGGAAAATCAACCAAACAGCCCCTTAATGAGATACAAATGCTATTGTCGTTGCAAATTGGAAACTTTAAAGTTCAAGTGAAACAATAAGCATCTCTACATAGCTGAGAGTAGTACCTATCGATAGATGGATACAATCTCCCCATCTGAATTTCTTCGTCTGTCATATAAGAAGCAAGGCTGTACAGAAAAAAGTTATATTAGCTGGCAATAGGGATCTCGTGGGCTTGTTAGCGAGCCTGGGTCAAGGGGGAGCAGGAACCCCACACTTAGGGGGCTCAAGGTCAATGTGGGGGCTTGCTTCCCTGACCCAGACTCAGGGTCAAGGGGTGCACGGTGCACCAAACTGGCCCATTTCATTAGCATAAACCCTTTTTTTGGTGTACATTTTACAACCAAGAGACGAACAATTCTACTTAAGGTCAACCGAAAAGACATAACTGATAACGTCTAACAATCCTACCAGGACCCCCATAACTACTTTTGTGTATAAATACCCATATCATGAAGTAGATTTTAGCCATTGGTACTAAGTATAAAAACAAACTAAGTGGCTCTAAATTTACCATTCAGAAGCTGCTTGCAACATTCCATCGGATATAAAATGA